GCATGTTAAGTATTGCCTGGTGTGTCAGTCGAAATGAAAGCAAAAGGATATTACACACCAACCAAATATTGCCAATTGTGAAGTCATTTGTGACTTCACCCCTCGTCATTCAAACGAATGACCCATAGCAACTTTGGTTTCTGTCTGCTTTATGCCCTTGTGACGTTATCAGAGCATCAAAATAGTTTTCCAATGAAGTAAACAGCACATTCAAGGTAGATTACATTTATTTATTGGACTAATCACAAAGGCACATTTTTTATATGGCAAGCAGAAGACTGTCAATACGCTATTATAATTTTAAGATATCCTAGCTTGGACCTATGTGCAGAGTTTAAATCCCCTTTCTGGTATTAAGGGGCCCTCTTGCTTGGTCTGTGGGGATTACAGTTGTTGCAGCCCACTCACTGCAGGGCACCTGACTGGATCCTCTGCAGCAGGCCGCGACTGTGTGAACCACGATCATACCTCTTTGTTTTGTTTTGCTCTCTGTTTCCTTTGCAAATTTTCTCTCTGCTTTCCCGTATCTTCCAGAAACTATATCACATAATATGTTTCTTCTTTGCAGTGTCTTTGCAGAGGCTCCCTTTCATTGAGCTACATATAAGTACTGAGGGGTTCATACGAGCACCAACCCTCAGCAGCATCTGCACCATATTGATATTAATGCATCATCACAAAATAATCACTTAATTAATAGCCAGCAAATGCTGTGCCATTCTCTCCTTTTATTGTCCTCCACTTACATTCTCATCGTCACTTCCCTCTTACTCACATTTCTCACCCTCTACTCATAAACCTCCACATGTCTCCGCTATGCAGACGGACGGAAGAATCTGTGGTCGTCGCATGGACACTTTGTGAGCAACATGCCGGACGGGGGTGGGTAGGTGGTGGGGGGGGGGACGTTTTCAGTCCAGTCTGGCTTTTTTCTGCCCATGTTTGGCGAGAGGAAATGAACGCTGTGGGGACGTCTCTGAGCTCCCCACTCAAACACAGCCGGAGAGGTAGACGGAGCGACTAAAAATAGCGCTGAGCCCAGGTCAGCTTTGAGCCAAGAGTAAGTAAGTTGGGGGGGGGAAGAAAAAACACATGATGTAAAATGAAATGAACACAAGGAAGCTTGTGGAAAGGTAGGCGTAGCGAAAATGTGAAAGAAGTTAAGGGCATAAAATAATCATTCAAAAGGTTGCATTGTCAAAACCGAGGGTCAAGTGCCTTGCATGAGAGTCGCTGGGGTCACTGGGGGGAATTTGTGTCCAATATGTGAGTGAGCAATGTAAATATGAACCTGATGTTTATCAGGGCGGTAAATTCTGGTGGAAGCCCCCAGTCTCTCATCCATTTTGTCATATCTCTCTCTTCATGTGCAATTTATCATATCGCTAGAGCATGCATAACCACAAATCTCTCACATCTGCCCCGCTGGCAAAGACGGAACGAATAAATGACCTACGAGCCCACGAGATATTCCTCTCAGTGAGACAAAGGGTAGTTGAGGGAGAAAAGATGAGGATGAGATACGGCTGTGGTTTGTGAAAGAGGTACGTTGTGATCCAGGATTTAAAGTAGGAGGGGAAGAAATATGTGATGTAGGAGACAGGATTCAGAATAATGAATTTAGAGTAGTAACGATGATGTTGAGATATCAAACATAATTTACGGAGCGAAGCGATGGGGAAGTGAACGCGGTTTACGAGAAATGGCTGTTGGTTGTGGGATTCACGCCGCATTGACCTGGATGCGTTAGTTTTGCTTTGTCTTATTGTTTAACAATGCAGAAGTCAAATACATGCATTCCTTGAGAGCATCAAAACCAGATTTGATGAGTAAAAAGCGAAGAAAACCCCCCATACGATCTCCTTAGAAATGACAATGCAAGCAAAGTGTGTACATTGTGCACAAGGATTTCCTGCATAATTCCACACTGTGATAGTTCATATTGGAGCCTGGGGAAGTGGAACGCCAGGATAAGTGAAAACAAGGCCTTCTCTAACACAGCTCACCATCTGGTTCTGTTATGTTCCTCTTGAAATGGTGGAGCGTAGCATGTTTGGAGGTATTACACGGCCTCCAAAGCAAACAATCCCTATTGTTACTGGCTCGGGCACGTTTTGTGTGTGTGCCTTTGTATACTCAGAGATGAATGATCGTTTATTTGTTTTATAGCGGCACTTAGCAGCTTGCTGTGGTGGTGATGGACAGATTGTTCTCCTCCTTGTTAGTTACTTTAAAAAAAAATGATGCTGTTTAATATTCGGCCATAATTGATTTTCTTCTCCTTGCCTAAAAATCCCCCCTTTTCATGCCCCTCACTTCCCTGAATGATGGCCTCTTTCCCTGCATTTCTACGTCTCTTCTCTTCTCCACCCTCCATTCCTCCCTCCCTCCTTCTCAGAGCTGAGGTCATGGCTGGCTCAGTTCGGTTGTGGGCTGGAGTACCGACATAAGAGAGTCTGTTTTTCTCATCAGTCGGAATAGCTCTCATGAAACCTACATGTGTGAAGGAATGAGGCTCTATTTGCTCTGTTGGTTCTGAAAGGTTTTGAATACTACATTGCAGTAACACAGCTAATAAAGTTGCAGTTTTGGTTTCATTGTCTTGCTCACGGACACTTTAGCAGGGTAGGCACTTGCAGTTCGGATCTTAACCTTAACTATCTGTGTAGTGAGTACAGAGGGAGAACAGTCCCTCTGTACTCACTACACCACACTGCTGGCATATTGAGATTCACAATCATTGGTGCACCACAGGGTTTAACCTTATCCTCTGTTACAGTCAATGCCACTGAAGAAGAAGCACGGTTTTAAAAACACGCAATATCTGCAACAGTGAACTATTGCAGGCCTCATTTCACGTCAGCAGAAATGAATCATTGCGTTGTATAAATAATGTAAGCAGGGTTGATTTAAATCTCAATCACATAATTGTTTGATAAAACATTTTGATGGGGGAACATTTCTAAAAACACGACTTTCAGGAAAACTAGGAAAAAGCTGCAGGATATTTATACGTTCCCTTCAATATGTGCTGGTGTGTCCTTCTGTCGGCGGACAAAACAGGGGATTTGTGGTTCTTCCATAATGCTGAATGTTATCAGGTCCTATTTGTTGATGTTATTTTGGTTGGTTTGTTAACCAGGAATAAGTCCAGAGGAGAACAATAGTGGGTCAAAATAGACCTTTGCAAATTCCTTTGCAAGTGAAAGCTCTGACAGGACGGCACAGTGTATCCTCATGTGCGAGCCTGTTCCCTGTGGGTGGAGAATTTGCTCATGCAATTACGACTCCCTCAGAGGCCCAGTGATCTTTGACCTTGACTGCTTGTGAATGGTGACCTTTAGAAATGTTTAGAAATGTCTCGAGGTGAAAGGATCAGTAAATGTGGATTGGTGTCTAAGTGATGCTGGTAAGACAAATGTGTGTTTTTTCTTTAAATATTGTGGCTAGACTAATCCCTGAAGAGATGTGTGAAAAACAGGTGATCCAAAGCTCACAGAAAGCCCTTGGAGAATGTTTCTGTTTACTTTTGACTCGGTCTTGCTAGATGACATGATAGATTTTCATTTTTTCAATACCAGTCACTATTATTAGCACGATGCACAAAATGCGAGTTTAAGCTTGCCTCCTCACACATGCAGGGCAGACCATGTGGTTATTGTGTCCTCGGGACACACACACACACACACACCCATTGACTTTTTTAAGCCTTTTTTCTTTAGAAAAAATAACAGTGATTTAGAGATGCTGACCAAGTTAACTTGCAACTTTGTCAGCCGTCATGCAGCTGCTGTCGTTTTCACTTTAGAGGGCAAATCTTTTCACTTTATATATATTTTGCTCTCTCCTCCTATCCGTCTTATTTACTCCTTCCTGCCGACAAACGTAAAACATTTAAATTTGTAGTAGCTGCTGGTGGCCACACACTCTTTGTCACCCAGCTCCAGATGTTATTGACACACCCCCAGGAGCCCTGCAGAGAGAATTGTACAAAGGAACACTGTCAGACGCACGCACACACAACCACAGTCCTACAAAGCTGGTACAATCCATCTCTCTGCAGGCCACCTCGTAAAGTCCTTTACACTCACACACACACATTTACCCCCAGTGGAGCTTGAAACACACACACACACACACACCAATCAGGATTTTTTTTGTCATGTCAAAATAAGAGATGGGTATCAATTTGGACTCTGAACTAACTATTTGAATAGAAAACGTGTAGCGTTACAGGAGCCAAAGTACCTTGTGATCTGCTTCTCTTTGGTTGATTCTGAAGTCACACATTTCTCTCCTGGAGATTCAGCAACAAAGCCAACATCTCAAAACAAACACTCAGTTTAGTTTGTACTCGCTTGGTTTGTTCAGCGGTGGAATTGCATCCCACTGGTATCATGGGAAACACGTTCAGAGTTGTTGAGTTGCCACAGTGACCTGCAGGTCGATTGACAGAAGGGTGCGGTAGGACAGGTTTTCACCTGCAAGATCTCAAAAACCCCGTAGCAATCCATTTCTGAGGTAAAACACTATGAGGGAAGGTTATTCCGCTGCCAAGTGTTTTTATGTTTCACACATGCACCCGAAAGGCCTCTGCGAGACCGAAAAAGTGAACAAATGTATGTGTTACAGATGAAGTGAAAGGCATCCTTGGTGCTTTGTAGAGATGCTCTGCACTGTAAGGATGTTTGTTATGGTTTGCACAAAGTATGTGTCGTAACACATCTGGCTAAGCAAAATGTCCGTGTCTTTGTGTGTCCCCTGTGCACCGCAAACGACTAAACACATGGCATACTCAGTTGTCCACACGCTCATCCTGGATGTGAACGTTTTGAATGAGCCTTTGCTTTTAGGCCAACAGGAATCAAACCAACACTTGTTTATTACTGAAAATCCAAACAGTGCTTTTTTGACATTTGTTACAAATGTGTTGGTCATCTGTGTCTCTGTCGCCCACATTTCTCAGCGGCTGACCCGCGTGCTTGTCTGTATGTTCACAGGGCAATATTCACGTATGATGGGATCACCAACAAGCTCAAACTGGCTGACTCAGGAGGTAAGACGGACCGTCGCAGGTTCGTTAGAAATTCAAAGTTAGGCAAAAAACAACGAAGCTTGTCACTTTAGCCCGAAATGAATTCAAGTGCTCTTGCATTTAGCAAATATTGTAACATGTAGCCTTTCTGCTATCTCCCCATCACTCTTGTTTGTTACCTTGTTTCTTCTACTTGTACTTATATCAGTCTCCTCTCTTACAGCGGGCGGTGTGGCAGAGTTGGCAGGCAAGTTTCACATCTCCAAGGCTCAATACGGACTGTGCAAAGTGGGAGGTGTGGAGACCGGGCGCGCTCGGATCGCTATGATCATCTGGGTGAGTGGCAGACAGGATCATGGTGATAAGCTCACGTCAGAATGTCATGTTTACGGAAACATACACACAAGCACGGGTTGCAAAAGTATTGCACATGCATTTTGAAATAACAGGTACGCAAACAAGCGCTCCCAGATATGCACTTTCTTTAGGTACAGCAACGCCATTTAAAATCCACCTTTTTCCTAAGAATATCTGGTCCTGAATTATTCCAAGACAAAGATGCTGAGAGCAGGTTTATCATGCTGCTGGTCTGCATGTTTTGGTGATGTGATGTTGAAGTGAATTCGCATGTATTGTTATAACCATAGGTCTATAGAATATCCCTTAGAATGACTGAATATTTTAGCTTTCATTTTTTTAATGAGTTATCTATTCAAATGGTGAAACACGTCAATCCTATTGTTCCTAATCTTGCTTCCCTTCTCTTTTTTTAGTCCTCTTTGAGGGAGGTATGGCATGAATGTAAGTGTCCACATCCTGTGTTTGTCTGCAGGTCGGTCAACATGTGGAAGACTTCCGAAGGACAGAATGTGCCGGCCACATTCCAGCCATCAAAAGCTTTTTCAAGGTGCAGTACATGAAAATGAGCGTTACAAATATATTTGTCTGGCATCCCAATTAAACTGTGCATTAAAGACGAAATACTGTGACAGTTTTACCATTGAGGACGGGCGGAAACAGACATTCACTCCCTGCTGTAGTGAAAACGTTCTGTGATCAGTTTTTAAGCACAGGAATGATTTGCTCACAGCAGTTTTCTTTGTATTGTCTTGCGAGTTTCCTGTCCTCAGTCCACTTCCTGTTGTGCTGCGGTTCTAGTCGTGACTTTGGCCATGCGATGGCTCTATCCATCGCAGCTGGAGACAGCTGAGTTTGGGCTCTATTGTTTGTGATGAAACACAAACTCAGGTAATAGGTGACACAGGAAGTGGAGGGGATGGAGGCCTCTGTGGTTTTATCCACCCAGATGGAGAGCACAATCTTCAGCTCTGCTAGTTAGAGATTGTTCTCTTCATCCGTATCGCTCAAACTGTTTATTTTGGGTTTCGGTCGAACTCGGCCCCCTAAGTTTACCAGTTTCCATATAAAGGCATCACCCAGTCAACTGCGGAAGCATGTGTGGAATGTTTGTTGTTTTTTGTCTCCTTTTTTTTTTATTACACAGTGTGGGATTTTTTTGAAGCCACTATCTGCAAAGCGCCTCGCCGCTCTCTGAGTGTTCTCTGTACATATTGTCATGGGATTTCATTTGTAGTGAAACGATCACATCGTCAATATGGCACGGAGTGAAGAAAATTGTCTCTCCGACTGACAATTGTGGGAGAATTGTGACCCCTAACCTCCCTAAACTCAACGCACGCACTCACACACACACACACGCACACACACACACACACTCACACACACACACACACACACACACGACATCATACATTAACAGCCAGACCTGGGTCACAATAATGCAATCAACTTGGGGTCACTGCTGTCACTGCTCTCTGTGTCTGTGAGCAGTGACAAAATGTAATTTTCCTTTAAACAGCAGTTCAGCCTTGGGTTTATTCTTATTCAGACCACATGCTGTATACGCTTGCATAACGGACATCCCAGCCAGGCATATTACTATAATGGTATTTTCAGAAGTAGCTATTCTTTCTTCTGGCCGTTCTAACTTGTCCAGCAGATGTGACTTGACGTTGGTTCCATGCGCTGTTGAATTCACAAGATGATTCACAGTTCACGTTGTTCGTGAGCAAAATGGATCTTCAAAGAGTTACCTCATATGCTGGCTATGAGCATTGTAAACACAGTGGGGAGCGTTTTTAAAAGGTACCTCCGTCTGTGGCGTAATCGGGGGTGGGAGTGAATCATTCCTCGAAATGATTACAAACCGGTATTCAAACCGGTTTGTTTAACAGTTTCTATCCAGGTCTAGAAAGCGTTCAAAGGCCACATGGTAAAAATTAGCATTACAAGACGTGATACTGTATATAAATTCTGGCCAACTGACACCAGTGTTTTGTATTTGTGGAGATCTAACAAATATTTTTATTTTTTTTTAAGGATCAAGCAACTTCTCTTGTCACTATAATGTTGATCAATTATTGTTTAATCAATCAATACGCCTGATGCAAACATGTTGTCTATTATGGATTTTTACATTGAACTCACTAACTTTCAGACAGGTTGTACTCTTATACGCATAGCTGCTTTTCATCGCCATGGTCATGCCACAAATATCACATCCCACTTGGATGGTAAACTACGATCCCCTCTGAACATATCTAGAGCATTGATAGAGATACACACACATTTAGCCTTAATAGAGTAGTTTAAGATACAAGCAGTTCTTTGAGCTTGAATAGAAAGGGTTAAATGATAATGCTAGCAGATTGCCACTTGTGAAGTCATTATAGCGACAGCAAAACACATGTTACGGGGTTAAAATAAGGTGAACAGAAACTGTATGAGAATAATAAGCGGAAGGAAAGAGACCGTGGAGAAAAGAAGAAGGCGTTATTTATTCTTAAACACTTCAGATTTATATCTTAAAAAAGATGGTGAAAAAGGAACTCAGCACTTAGCACCTAAATGCTGATGATGAAGCTGCATCACGTTAGAAAAAAGGGCAACCAGATGTGCGTACGGTGCAGTACATGACGATGCCAGGTCACTGGTGGTAGTAGTAGTGGAAGAGCAGTGTTTGGCTGAGGTTTTTTGGTGATCTCTGGGAGCACTGTGTGAGCTTTGACAGTTCGAGTGATATGGTTCATTCCCTGTACTGACGTAGGTATTATAAGGCACAGTCATAGTCACTCTGATAAAGCTCTGGTTTCCTGTTGGAGGCTGACAGAGGCTGACTGGCCCTCCATCAACCAGCCTGGTCTTACTCTCCATTGAAATCATTCTGGCAACATGCATGACTTCATGTTCAACACCTATCCGTCCCATGGACACAGCTGCAGCGGAACACTCTAGGACTGTATTGGTCAAGTGGCTTTGAATATCATCTGTCAATAGTATTTTTTCGTTTCTCTGAGTCTCCCTTGAGCTAGACTTAGATATTGTGCAACTGTCGAACGTTAAGCGAGGGCCTCTTTTTTTGCAAAAACAAATGCTTATACACCCTTTTTTTCTCACTCCCTCTTTAATTTCCCCTCATCTTTCCCTCTGCTATCGATAAGCATCCAAAGCACAGCCTTGCTGTCCTCACCCCAAAGCCAAGTAGTATTCTTTGCTCTCTCACAATCCTTATAACTCAAGCAGTTACACAACTGTTTGGCTCCGACTTTGCATAACTCCAAAGTCGGTGGAGAAAACCACCACAGGGGCCACGTTTTGTATTCTTTATTTGAGTGTGCGGCTTCAATACAGTTACCCTTCCTCCTCCACTTGCTGTCTCTTTTTTCATTCGCTGCCCTCTGCCCGCGTTTCAGGAAGCACACACGTTCATTAGTGCAGAGAAAGTGGAGGATGTGACGGAGGAGAAGATACAAGTCGAGCTCAGCAAGGCCCAGGCCCAGGCTCCTACGCAATTGGCGAGAAGGAGCTCCAGGTCTGCAGACAAGGAGGAGTTAGTGGTGAGTCTACTGCAATACCTCACCGACCCATCAGATGGAGACACAGACTTTCAAATAGTGTTTGTGACACAATTTGAGGTAGAAGCGTCTCCACCTTGGTAACAACATTTTCTACTTGTTACTCTATTATCCTTATGAACACAAAGAAATCAAATTAAAACGATTATAATGTGTGAGTGACACCCCTTCCTCTGTAAAGATTATTGAAACAAATACAACTTTTGGGCTCTCATTTGTTTTTTTATAGGGTACTAACTACAGAAAAACAAATGCTGCAATGGAGATGAGACGAATAAATAGAGACTCCTTCTGGGCCCGTGCAGAGGTAGGTAGCACATTTCATTGGCTGATCTATAGCTCACACCGTAATTCACATTTGTTATCGAAGAGGGTAATTACTTATATTGAAAAGTTAAATATAAGTATAATACCTTCCCAAATGTTTCACGTTGTTTGTGTCAGCGTGAAGAGGAGGAGAGGAAAGAGGAAGAGAAGCGACGCGCCTCAGAGGAGAGACGTCGCCTCGAAAGAGAAAGAGTTTCAAAGGAGCGGAGGGATGCAGAAGAGAGGGACCGGAAGATGAATGAGAAGCTAGAAATGATTGAGGAGCAGCGGTAGGAACAATGTCTTTTCCATAGTGCCCTCCAGCGGCTGTATTTTGTAAAGATGTGAAGAACAAATCCACTGAGCCAAAATATAAATGCCATACTTGTTTGGAAGAGGAAGTAGAAATGGAAAATCTGACACCTTTTCTATGTGCACACAAAAGGCTTATTCAATCAAATGATTTGCCCAAATTGGTTAGAAACCGAGTGGGCGAAGACATGCACCTTTGCCAAGATAATCCATCAGGATGTGGCATGTCGAGATGCCGATTGCGCTGCATCATTATTACACAGGTGTGCCTTGGGCTGGTCACAATGAAAGGCCAATATTTATTAGGATTTCACATAACTGGGGCTACTGAAATGCATCAATTATCAGTCAGCATCTGCTGTGACCAACAATAGCCCCGTGCAGTGTGACACACCTCCTTCTCCTCCGTCTGGCGTTGTCGCATGAGGAATCCACTCGTCTTGAGTGGCTGAGTGAAGTTGGTGGCTCACTGCGACATCTCTGTCGGCCCCTCTTTCTGCAGTGAGCGTGCCAATGGCAGACTGCATTCAAACTCTGTCATGTGATAGAACTGCATTTTAGGGGGACCTGTAATAATCAATCTGTTTAATGTCACACCTGTCAGGTGGATGGATTATCTTGGCAATGTCCTCGCTAACACAGGTTTTAACAAATGGGTGCAAACAATTGCAGATAACGAAGTTTATGTGTGCGGAGATATATTCTCACATCTTTAAGTCAACTCAATGAAAATGGCAGCGAAAACTAAAGTGTTGTGTTTCATAATAGTTTGACATACAATTGTAGTAAATGTGGTGCATGTTGGATAAAGACTTTTGGAGACATGTTGGTAACGTGATCGTATTGGTTTTCCTCTCAATCAGAAGAAAACAAGCAGAGCAAGAAGAAGAGCTCCTCAGAAAGGAGAAATCCAAATGGGTGAGCGAGCATATCCTACATTATATGTGGCACTGTTTTTGTTTTTTTGTTAAAAAGCACACTGCGTTGGTGGCTTCTAACTTTTCAGTTTGGTTGGACGGCCTGAGCTTATTGACTCATTGACTCATTGACTTATTGACTACAGGTCCTGTGATCCATAGTAATGGATCCACATGAACTGATGGCTTCACTTGTCTGCCACAATATCTGCTGATCCGCGTGGACTAATTCATGAACAAATACAGGACTGACTACATTTACAGGGGAATGCTGATTACATTAACATGCCATATTAATTGGACTATACAGCTGATAAGAATGTTATTTAATATTTATACTGAATATTCATGTTGTAATGTTAGACCTGATTCACTGATCTCATGTCACCTACTCGGTATGGTTGCTAAGCATATCAATTGCGTGAAATAGACGTGACAACCTTCACGGTATTCGATAATTATTTTAATGTATACTGAATTCTGGTTTGCATATTTATGCCGTGCAACACCAAATATAAAATTAAAAGAAATTAAATATCTCCATGGGCTCAAAGTTACCTTCAGTCTTCACTCAGGGCTGTTTCTAAGCTTGGAACAGTGCAGACTGCCTAGAATAAATTACACTATATACTTTATATTTGTGAGCGGGGAAAGGAAGGATGATTAAACTTGTGTTTAGTGAGGGATTTGCAGAAAATAAGTGAAAATAAAAAAAGTACTCCCGAGGTATTGCTTTGTGTCAACAGTTACCGCATCATTAATGTCAAAACACTCGGGTGTCACTCGTCTCAGATGCTTTGTCATCTACGTTTTCAAATAGTTCTAAAGGAAGAGATAAAAAAGACAACATAAAAATGTGTGCGTGAATATATAAATATGATTGCTGCTGTGGTTCTGCTCTGACAGGAGCAGCAGCAGAGGGAGCACGTGGAAGCGATGCGGGCTCGTCTTAGCAGGAGTGAGTCCATAGAGAAAGCAGCAGTAAGTGAACCTCACACCCCTGCAGCAGAAACCCACACAGCCGACATCCCCTGATATTGTTTGGCAATGACGCCTTTGTCTAAGACCCCTCTGTCATTTGTAACTGTCTGACCCTGTTGAGTCCTACGCCTACTCCAAACATGACATGACCCCCGCAGGAGGCAGCAGCATTAGTGTCCCAGCGCTCCATGAACCCAAGAGAGTTCTTCAGGCAGCTGTCCTCATCGTCATCACAAAGTCCCACCAGCCCTGGATCCTCCCGCTCTGGTATGTGCACTGTTGATCAGAGGTGGTACCACGTAACGGCCACGTGTTCCATGCTCCACATGAGCCTACTGACCTGGATGCAGATCATTCATTTTTTGGATAAACAATGTCGATAGACAATCGTTTTTTTTTTTTTTTTTCTCCAGGCAAACCCTTCAGGCGATACCAGCGCAGCCTGACGGACACGGCCTTCATCTTCTCCAAAGCAGAAGAGAGCACATCATCCTCCCCTTACAGCTCTCCCCTGGTCTCCCCCTTCTCCCGAGCTCCTCCCTCCTCCATCTACCAGGCCATGTCTCCTCCAACAAGTCCTGGTTTACGCCCTGTCACCTCTCCACAAAGTTCCAGAGCCCCCGCTTCACCGCCCACGTCACCTCTCCGCCCTGCCCCTCCAGGCGCAGCGGCGCCCAGCGTTCCACAGGCCAACAAACAAGATCAGGCGTTTGTTCAGCCCAAACCCCCGTCACCCACCGAACCTTCTGCCCCTCCCGCCTCCCCCGGTCTCTTGGCTTCGTTGAACACCGGTTTAGCAAAAAAAGACCCCTCTCAGTTGGACCCAGAAGCCCTACCAGCTTCACCCCCAAACACCCCAACCCAGCCAGAGCCCTCAACTTTCTGCTTCCAGTCCGGTGGAGCCCCACCAGCTCCAGCAGCTCATCTTCCAGAGAGGCCACAGCCAAATACAGGTAGGGAATAGAACACAAACGATTACTTAGGGATCTGATCATGCAATGTGATAAAGTTTTTCCTTTTTAAGGGCGGAGTTGAATAGTCAGGTCAATTATCCCACAAAGTAGCTATTGTTAAAAACTATTTGTAAAGGCAAAAGTAACTCAGATGTTTTTGCCAAAATCCACTCCACATAGCCAGTAAAGCATACTGGGAAGGGGGACACACACAATTTTTGCATTCTCTATAGTTCTTTTTGCTACCAAAGGCATTTAAAGCCTCTGTGGGTTCTTTGCAACATTACATGTTACACATCAAATTCCGTCTGTTTCTGATGATATAATTCTTTAATCAACAGACTCCAACAACGTCACTCTTGTTCACACGGAGCAGGTCTCGGACGAAGGCTACGGAGTGAATGCCGTACTGGTGGAGGAAGATGAGGAAGAGGATGTGGAGGAGCATGAAGAAGATCAAATGCCACCAGAGCCTTGTGCTGTTACCACAGAACCAGTCCAGAAGGAGGAAAATGAGCGTGAGGAAGAGGACAAAGAGGGAGAGGAAGAAGGATTAAAACAGGAAGCTGAGCACTCCTCACTGCAGGACCCAGTGGAGGTGGTGCAAGAGGAAGAGGGGACAAAGGATGAAGAGAATGATCAATCAGAGGACAGTCAGACTCCCTCTGAGCCCGCCGAGCTTTCAAAGAAAGAGGAGGAGTCGACAGTCACCGGTAGGCCTCTTGTTCTTGTATCCTGCTATTTGGACTTGATTAACATGTCTTATTGTAACACTGTCACACGCAGTTTATTTTTGAATGATGTACTGAAGCTTTGGAAAAAGTTGATAATACGCTGCTCTGTGACAAAAGATTACAACCAAGTTATTATTTCAGATGCTGAACCAATTTGTCAAGAAATTCAGCATGAGACTGTCATTGTGTCAACCAACGGGATCACAAATGGAGAAGAGAGTGAGAATGGCACAGGTTCGGCAACAAATGTATTTTAAACTACTTTACAATGTTGAATTATTCAGCGACGTAACATAAATAAAATTCGAATTCACTTCGCTGGTTGGAGTTTGATTCATTCATTCCACACTGGTCTTCCTCAGAACGATCCTTGAGTCCGTCGGACACAGAACTCAGCTCCCCGGAGCCGGCTGGGCGCTACGACCTCCACAGCACAGCAGAGGAGGCCGACGGGAACGAGGAAGAGGAACCAGTTATCTCAGAAAATGGACAAGAGGTAGTCTACAAACCGTTGATCTACAAACAGCTTTAAACACAAATTCTACTTGTCTAGTGTGTTGCACAAAGCTGGTTTGTCCCTGGTTTCTTTTTTTTTTTTTGTTGAACATACAGAAATTGTCAGCGTTTATTTAATTTGAAGAAAGTCCATTAAATATTTGTCATGTTCTTATATGCTCCGTTACGATTTTAAGTGAAACGAGACGTGCATTTCGTGATTGCGGCCGTCCCCTGACTCCATTTCCCTCTGCACACAGGTTTTAGCGAAGCAACAAATGTGTGTCCGGGCTCTGTACGACTACCAAGCAGGTGAGCTGCCGTTTAGACAACAATAACCCTGAGAGTAAACTTTAAGTGCCTCCACTTTCAGTAATTGCGCCGGAATCGGAGGGTTTTCACCATCTTTATCGTGTGGTTCCCACAGAGGACGAATCTGAGATCTCCTTTGAACCCGGTGACATCATTAAGGACGTGGAAACGGTGGACACCGCCTGGTGGAGGGGATGGAGCAAAGATGGCTGTCAGGGCTTGTTCCCTGCCAATTATGTGGAGACCATCTAGACGGGCAGAGACACAGACACGTACTCAGGGACACCATCTCACGTTTGTGCATACCTTTTTACCGTTATCCTCCCACTGAAACTTTGTACTCGGTGTTTGTTGGGAGGATAAAAAAGTGTGACTCCCTGTTTTGTAGAAAGCATAAAGATAAGTGTGATTCTTTATTTTGATATTTTTTTGAGCAAAGCAAATTATTCTCACAAGTATGTAGAAATTACCCAGCCTCATTTTCTTGGATATAATAGCGGGCACCTTTCCTGGACCAAAATAACTTATTTCCTTTAGAGATACAGCAGGAATGTTGGCGGGAGGGATCAGATCTCGAATACAAAGGATCACAAACGTGCTTTTCTTGTGAAAAACACAAACAGATTTTTTTTTTTGTGTATTGTCGCCTTTTTGATCCACACATGTAACAAGCATTCCATTCTGCTCAGCGTTTGCTTTCTGTGCTGCACTGCTAAAAAATAATTTACTGCTTTTGACTGGCATATATAATCAAGATACCTGTATCAGACATCATCTTATAATCATCTTCATTTATCTCCAGAGTTATGTTGTAGCATTGTTTTCTTACTGACAGTCTCACAGCACATTTTGATTACCTGAACAGAAGAGGGAGGAGCAGAAGATAGAGGCACTTTTTTGACATCTGCATTTCTCTATCACTCTTTAGGATGGATTAAAGTCTGTTCATATGGGGATGTCCTTCGATACATTTTATGGTTACGTCTCATCTTAATTTTTCCTAGATTTTAGGAAGTTAACGCTTTGTGTTTACACAGATCATAAATTCAAATCTTCATATTTTAATCTTCTGTTATATCGTAATCTACACTGTATATAAGAATGTATAAAACACCAAAAATCAGTTTTTCAGTACACATTTGTATGTTCTATGCTTGTTTGGTGGTATGTATGTTCTTTGTGTTTACTCCAAACGAACAAATATATTGCATATACAAACTCAAACTTCTTTAAGTGTTTGTCTCTTCTTTTACAACCAAACAGAAACAGGTGATTTCAGAGAAGCAAATGTCACTTCAGGCATTCTACAATTAATGTAATGTATCGAATGTGCAAATTGTACCATAAACACATTATATAATGCAAAAACAATTCGATTTTAACAAAATGCAGTGAACACAATGTTTGTGGTGTCATAACAAGGGATGGCACACTTGATTTAGCGTGTTTTATTGGTAGTATGCAGTATTTTGATATTGAATATTTTCCTATGTAAACTTGAATTCAGTATACATATTCTGTACTGATCTCCTCTTTTCCACTGATTGTTAAAGCTTTGGGAAAAAGTAAAAAAATGTACACGTTTAAATCGTAGTGCTGTATTGGCACCTATAGGGGGAGACATTGCCTTTCATGATGTGTCAGTTATGACATTATTGTGAGAGAGCTCTCTGAAATGAACCAATTTCTCAGGACAAAAGGCAAAATATTCTGACAGGCGGAGAGCAGGCTCATTGTTGAACACTTTTTAGGAGCAAGATATCCAGACATTTCCAAAGCTAAAAATTGCTAATTCTGCTACACTTTAAACAGGATTTCCACCGAGGTTAATGATGATTGATTGAACATGACATTAATATTTCTTAACCATACACCTTTAATGTGTTTGTGAGAGCTGGGCTACGCTCTTGTCGTGCCAGTTCAATAACAGTGTTTGGCACAGTTGCCTCCGTTTCGGAAAAAAAAAAGAGGTAATGTTTGACATGTCTTGTCTCATCCCGCCTGAACGGATGCCTGTTGACAGACTGACTAAATCCATCCAGGAAACTATTCTGTCGAGGTTATCCCAGGAGGCTAATCATCAGTGATATGCGTGAAAAGGTGATGAGCCTCTTATGAAACACTAATTGGGTTGCGAGGAGAAGGCTGTGCAAAGCTCAAATGAGCAAGATTGAGAGACAGAAAAATAGACTTCATTTAAGTTTTAAACAGGGAGAAGGAAAAAAAAACAGTCATCGTGTAATGTGGCGTGATTTTACATTTGAGACCATGAGAAATAAAAACAGGCTTAGAGATAAACTGAGAGTCAGAGGACAGCTGTGCACAGACATTGTGACGGCAAATTCATCCCGACAGTTGTGTCCCCTCATGCCGCACCTCGCAATATCCCCGTTCCCATGGTCGTCCCCACAAATCAAGAGATCCCTTGTCTCTCCAGATTAAGCAGAGTGATAAGGAGACACGGGCTAATGTGCCAGTCAACTTTCCCTTCTCCTGCCCCTCTGTCTGCAGGCTATTCATTCCTCCTGTGACCCTCATCAGTAACAAAAACCCTTTACTAGGGTGCGAAACTAAAGGACAACAACCCCCCCGCCCGCCCCTGCCTCTTCCTGACTTTAGCTTTATCTCTTATTTAACTGACAGAGCCTATCTGACTCGCGGATGACTGACAAGTGTGGAACGGCAGAGGTGGACTGGCGGTGGGGAAGTGCCACTCATTGTGGTGTTATCAGCACAAAGGCCAACGGCAGACACCTAATCTGACCTGGCCGCTGAGGGGTGGCAGCTTGTTCGTTGGCTTTCTGCACTGAAGCGGCATGCTGGCGAACCTTAGAGGGGAGGATAAGCGCTGACACACAACAATGTGCACGTGCATGGGCACGGATACGCACGTAAAAGACACATACGTGTGCAGACAACCGACAACGGTCACTATTCTCAGCCTCCATCCTTCTCCTTGCCACTCCGCAGCCCCCGAGGTTTCATTGTCTTATGGTTTGCGGTTATTTTTTGTTATTAATTATGTGTTTACAAGAAACGTAAATCTTACCACAGCCGTTTTATAACTCTTTTATATCAGCCATCTGCACCTGTGTGCTGGTGCGGGATGATGGCACTTGTTCTCCTTCTGCGTCATTGTTTTGCAGGAAGAAACATGAAGGACAGGGTCACCCTGTCCGCGCTGGAGGCTTCAGGTTACCTTGCCAATATCTGTGCCGGAGGACTGCCCGCATGGATCTTCCACTCCAAAAGTGCTTAGAAAAATACAGTACGCACATTGCTCATGCTTTTTGTAAAGGTTTGGCAAAGCTTAGGCATGTACGGTTATTTTTAAAAGACTCACGAAGCCCCTTTTTTCCTCTTCCCTCGCTGATATAAAGATCAGAGTTCATAAGCACCTGTACGTTTGAGCACTCACCGAGGAAATGGGTCTCATTTTCCTTTTGGCTCTTTATTCTGCAGGGTCATCAGTTACCGAAGACACTATTTCTTTCCATGGTATCGAACATTACCCACCGGCAATAGAAACTCCGTAGAACCCGAGGTGCTGTGTCAAAATGTGAACGCACCACTCAAGCGGTTTGCTTGTGAGATGATCTCAAGGCTACAACTGTTATCTGAGAAGAAATTCTCCAAACTATTATGATTCTTCATCAGCTTTAGCTTGGTGATAATTTCGTTTGGAAAGTCTTGATTAAACCTTTGCTTTTAGACATCTCTCATGTTCTGGACATTGTCATTTTCATATTTTCCCTTTAAAGATAATCTTCAAAACCGCTGAAGTAGATAACGCCTTCGAAGCTCCTGATGGCTCCAGCCAAGATTTTACTGTCAGCATAGAAACCGGCCCATTAACTTCTGAAGCCTTCTTTGGCAAAGCTCCCTTTCCCCTCCATTGCCATCAAAAAAGCTATTTCCCTCGGCCAGTCCTACACAATGATAACAATGAGTAGAGGATTAGAACGTCCCTCTTTCTTCAAGCAAAAACAGTTAAAATGGATATAAAAAAAAAACATCTCATTGGTGGAGACTAGTTGGCAGCGTTTTCCTCGACGGGATTTTTCCTGACATGATTACCGAGAGGCGGTTTTTCGCTTTTACGATACAATTTCTGCGCTTTCAATCGGCTAACATGTGGCGTTGTGATCCAATCACGACACCCCCTCCCCCCCTTCCTCCCGCTCTTCAGTTCAGAAATGGTTAAGTCTCTCGGTCTATTGTGAAGGAATCTTCAAAGTGGCGGGAAACCACATGGGAACAGTGGTAGTTGTGAATTAATGCAAGAGACTCTGTACAAATATTTTATTTTTCTTGATTCCAAAGATGAAAATATATTATGCTCTGAATCTAGCAACAGGCACGTCCCAGATCTGTTTAACTCATCTTCAAGCTGTTATTCCGGACAATGAGATGCTGTTGTGACTCTCTGATTTTTATTAACTCTGCTCTGGTTGCAGAAGAAATATCTCCATTTTTGGCTTTGGTTTATTGGATTTTTGTTCATAGCATTCAAGTTTCCATATTATCTGGTCTTTATGACTATTATTGAATTTGAAAGAAATGGGCGACATGGCAGAGGCCGTGGAAACCGCTACAGGCAGCTAAAGGAAAATTTGCCATGATGGATGATGGATGATGGTTTTAATCTTAAAATGTTCTAAATTGTTTCAATCCAGTTAGTTACTTTAAAGGGTTTGGATTGCTTTTAATGGTACACATTGTCATATTTCAACAAGAAGCTAAAGTAAAATCAGACAATAAATAATGTCAGAGTAAATCATGACCTTAAACTAAATTCTTTTCCCGAAGCCACTAGCCGGCTAGTCGGCATGTAAACACAAGCAAAGTCCTAGTGGTCAATAACTGTGTGAGCTGTCCCTAAAAACTAGAACAGGTAAAAGTACTGATTCTCTTCGTGACTCACATGGCGCACGCTCACATACACACACACACACACACACACACACATACACACACATGCTCTGGGTTTCACACGTGATGCCTGTGGCACCACAATCACTGCCAGATACTGTGACTTTCTTTCACACAATTCATTTCACAAGTATCTCTGAAGGAGCGATGCCGATGGTGGCATTTGAGGGAGACAAATGTACATAAGCGCGCGTGTCTTAGTAAGTGATGGGGATGTGCCGGTGGCAGTGCTTGAAAAGGACACATATGAGATCAGATAGAGCTGAGACTAATTCACAGCCTGCCCCGAGGACATTAAGCAGGATAGAGTGAGACATCTTTTCTCACACCATTCAGGCTAAGCCTATGGGGACACGTTGTTTATTTCTTAGCTGAACTACATGATTCCAGGCCGTAAGTGTGGTTTTGAAACGCAGAATAAACAACATGGCAGTGTTTATTAAAGAGGCATTCTTTTTTTCTTTTTAATTCAATTTAAAATCTCACCTAACTAGGGTTTTGGGAATATTCAAAGTCTTAAACTTTCCATGGGAATATACAGGAAGTAACAGGAATAAAACTGCAAATGTTGCGTTAATTTAACTGTATTTACCCCATGATACATGAAAAATCAAGTTTTGACATTAGCCGACGTGCATGCGATAAAAACTTTTGCAAAACAACAGGTCAAAATTAACTTTGCATGGAAACTTAACCAATTCACATTTTTCAACCCTCTAATAAGACAAACAATATATTGTACTTCTCATTGCTGTTCTACGATTGTGATGTTAACCGTGCAGATTTGTGTTGTGAGACACCCAGAGGCAGCCTTTGGCAGGCCAGGCACGGTGCCCGCCCCCCAGGGGAGGTGGATGATGGAGAGCAAACAGCTAATAATTAATACCATGATTACACAGGCTGCAACAACATGGGGAGACAAACCTTCCCGCACCCAGGCGGGGACCTGACCAAGACTGATAGCTCAGGAGCATGCAAGTACACACACTGATGCAGAAATACACACACATGTGCAGGCACACGCTGTGTCTATCACACACACACACACACACACACACACACACACACACACACACACACACACACACAGGTACAAACTGCAACCAGGTCCAGCACTCACACGATTAATACCACAGCATCCAACAGCTCTTTGTTCTCACTAGGATCAATTACATAAACGACACACTGGAGCATTAAACAAATATAAAACACTATGTTTATAGTTGCGATTAGATTTTGAAAGGCCTGTGCGGCAAATGAAAGCATTTCTTTTGTTCAATTTCTCCTGTCTC